TCGGGATCTGAGTATACAATAAATATTGGAATAATTGCATTAAATCAACAAAAGCACCGACCTAACCCCTCAAAAAAATGTAAAACATATCGAGTGAGTATGTGTTGTATTCTCTGATGTTCGGACTCTCGAAATAGTTGGATTACCCATGTCGGACACAACATGGGTATAAGTATGGGATATATGTCGGATCTTTCAAATTTCAACCGGACACTTCATCATTTTTACTTCTTCTTTTTTTTTTTTTCTTTTCTTCCCCTTTCCTTCTTTCCCCTTTTTGCTATCTGTAAAACTAAAGTCGCCGTCAAGAGGGTGGAGAAAGGTAGCGGCGCTAGGTTTTCCCTTTTTTTTTCTTCTTTCTTTTTTTCTTCCCATTTTTTTCCCTTTCTTTTCTATCTGTATCGGTTAGGGTTTTGTTTGTATAAAATGAAAACGGATTCCATATAGTGATATTTAGTGCTCCACTAAGTCCAAATTGCAATCAAATCCCTCATTTTTTATTTTATATAACAATTAGGAATCTCATAATCTAAACTAAACCCCATAACTCTATTTTATTCATCTTAATCCCATATTCAATGCGCATTTCCTTCTTTGTGAATAATTGATTTTGGCCTATTCAAAATGATATCTTGAATTAGTAAAAAAATTGAAGTTTAAAAAAGTGAAATTTGGACTCTTTTTAGTTATATCCTCATATCTTATATTTTAAAAAAAATAAAAGATCTGACATTTAAATACTTACCAGTACCCGATACCCGTACCCGAGTTCGAGCATCATAGGTTGTATTTTCTAGATTGCATATATATGTTGTTGTAAAGGGGTTTTGCTTCTTGTGTGTCGTGTGCCTCTTATTGTGCTCTATGTTGTGATAAGTCCTCTTGGACTAGTCCAGCCTTCTAATAGTATAGACTAATCTTCTATGACAATAATAGAATACCCACCAAATTGTAGTGACTCTAACATTGGCAAGAATGACAATCACATCACAAAAAAAATGTATTCTTTCCATTTTAATGTGCATCAAACATGAGCTTAACAGGGACATATTAGAAAATTTAAAAATATATAATTTCAATAAGGTAAATAGCTTATAATTTGGGACAACGAAAAATAAAATCAAGTATATCTTTATGAGACGAATGTAGTATAATTTTTTCCCTCGTAAATACAACACAAAAAAATTCGTAGTCAACCGCAGTCAACTTATTGTGAATGACACATTTCGTACGTCAAAGTTAAATGGAACTAAAAAAAATTAATGTTGGGATAAAATTGATCAATTATACCTATTAAACACGCTACAATTGGGCATGACCAAGCCAATAGTCAATCGCACTATCAATCCATAAGATGTGGTAGCTTTTCAAGTCATGTGATTTCCGAGTGGTGGATTAAAATAATGCATATTGTCTAGTGCAGTTCTGTCAAATACTGCAATTTCATGTACAAGTTTTGGCCTTAATGCAGACATGGATTTATTGGGTCACAAAGAGACTTATCTAAGGAATGGAATACTATATCCTTCTCATCTACAAATCTTACATATGAATTTATTCATCCACATTATAAATATTACAAATTGAACGGGTTAAATACAATTTCAAGATAGAACACGTCTTTATTAATAGGAATACCCAACATATATTCACCTGATAAATGATAGAAACAACACCATGATAATCCTAATGTTCAAAATATAAGCCAGATGAAGAAGCATCAAATATACGAAAACTGTACACTGAACAAGATATATGACAGTTTGTCAAACATTGTATCATAAAATTTCGGGACTGCATCAAATATACGAACAATGTTCCATAGAAAAGGAAGTATGTCACCTTTTCTTGCAAGCATTCCACTTTATCAGTTACAAAGGAATACTCTGCCTAAAGCATATTCTTTTCAAATTCGACACCTTTTGAAGCTACCAGCTACAAGCTATTTTCATGGAAAATTAGTTGAGAAGATACAAGGAATATTCTGTCTAACTGAAGAAGCAAAAGATGCTCACGTTGTCCCCATTTTGATTCGTAGCTGAAATTTGCCTTCTCAATTCTACAAGAGGAAACAATATATCTTAGAAACTAAGCTTTGTTTGTCAATAAAAATTGTTTATTTGCTCCACAAAGTTAGATATGTCAAAACATAGATGAAAAGGCTCAACAAATCATTCAGGGTTTCCACATAATGTTCTTGAACAACAAT